GATGTTTATAGCTGTTTCTCTTCATTTTGAGTTGTGCCCCATCAGTAAATGCTGGTCTCGAAGTCTTTATCCTTTCATATCATCATGGTCAACTCTGCTTTCATGAGGCAGCTTTTTCCCAGTTGTGTTTTGAGTGCCTTCCAACTCGAGGGACTAATCTTCCAGCATATATCTGGCAATATTCTGGTGCTCTTCATCATATTCCAATAATCTGGTGATATCTGACATTGTTCCACTGCTTCTCATAAGGTTTTCAGTGACTAAAAATTTGAAAGAATAGTCTATCTCTTCTTCTTCCTAGTCTGTCTTAGTCTGGAAGCTCAGCTGAAATGTGTCCACCATGGTTAGCCCTGCTGGTATTTAAAATACTGGTGGCATAGCTTTTAGAATCACAGTACCATGCAAGCCACTGCAGTATGACAAAGTGATGTAGTAGAGGCACCCCACTATAAAAATAGGCCTGCTGCCCAAGGCACAGAAGTTTACTTGCTCTGTGAGCCTGGAAGTGCACTGTCATCTCATGTTCTGGATCATGGTTGTCTTGCTGCTTCTCTGCCACTCTGCTGTTTTCACAGGTTCAATGTGTAGGAGTCATGGGGTCCAAAGATGCACTTCACTCCTTGCTCTTTTCTTCTTTGATAGTACTGAGGTCCCCTGTTACTACTTCTGAGATATTTCATCCCTACTCAATTAGCCCTTCTAACAGTCATTCACTATGAAATCATATCATCTTATCAGCATCAACTCCCACCTTCTCTTATCCAGACCTATCAGAAAAAAGGGGGAAAAAATAGTGGGAATTTCAAAGACAATGGATAGTTCACATCACACTTAGATTGTCACTGAGGCAGTACGTGTGGTTTTGGAAATGTAGAGGTAAACATATAAAGCAAGTCTTTGGAGCTCACAGAAATCATGAGGGTGCCATAATGCTCTCCCAGGACCATCAAATTAGGTTTTGCATGCTGAAAGTGAAGAGGACTTAAAACATTTACTGATGAAGATCAAACATCACATCCTTCGGTATGCATTACATCTCAATGTCAAGAAAATAAAAATCCTCACCGCTGGACCAATAAACATCATTCTTATCATTGGAGAAAAGATTGAAGTTGTCAAGGAATTCATTCTTCTTGGATCAACTATCAACACTCATGGAAGCAATCGTCAAGAAAT